CTCCAATTTTTACTCTAGCAAATGCATTCCCTGAAAGAAATATTAGAAAGAGAAGAACCCAAATGATTCATGTATAGTTCTCAGTAACTCAACCTAATGACAATATTTAAAAACAAAAACAAAAAAACCTCTCAAAATTCTAGAATCAGTATTAAATATAATTTATGGAATACAAAATATAACACTTAGTGTAGCTGTCATCACTGTATAACTCCTATAGTACAAATATTCTTTTTTAAAGATTTTTATTGGGAAATTGGGGCAGGGAACAGTGTTGGGGAATCGGGGAAGAGGAACAGACAAGTTGCTGTTCTTTTGTTCTTCAGTCTAGTTGTGGAGGATGTTGCTTCACTGGCCCAAGCTGGCACCATCATTGCGCTCTTCCCGGGTGAGGCAGATCAGTCACCGGCCTCTGGACGGCCGCTCACGGCGGCTGCTGGCCGCTCACGCTGGCCGCTGGTTACACACGGTAGCCCATGGCAACCCACTGCAGCAGGGGCTGCAGCCTATGCCGTCACCAGCGACCCACAGCAGCCCAGCTCCAGGTTGAGCTGTTGTTCAGCATCTTAGCTGTAGAGGGCAGTGTCACTGGCCCTCATATGTGGGATCCGAACCGGGGCTCTCTGGCGTCCCAAGCCAGCTCTTAACCAACACGCCACTCAGCCGGCCAATTATTCTTAAAGAATAAAAATTATGAATTTTACTTTTTAAATTTATTTCTTGAAGGTAGTAGGTCAATTCTTGGGAAACTGGATCCCACACCCCTCCTATGCTCAGACTTCACTTTGGAAGCCCTACTCTCTGTCCTGCAACATCAGTTTCTCCCTCTTTTCTAAATCAATCCCATCAGCCACTCAAACACAGTTGATATCGTCTATAAAAAAAAAAAAAGAAAGAAAAAAAAAGAAAAACAAACCCTTTCTTTATTCCATGGTGTCTCCTAACTACTCCCCATTTCTCCCTTCACTTCACACTCAGCTTTTTCAAAAGTGTGTTCTACATTCACCATCTCCAAAGCTTCACCTCCCAAATATTCTTCAACCCACTCCAGCCTGGCTTCTGCTCCCCTCCCTCCATAAATCTGCTACTTTCAAGGTGGTCAGTAACTTCCATGCAGCCAAATCCATTGACCACTTCCCTATCCTTATGTCACTGGCCCTCTAGGCAGCACTGGAGTCTTTGGATCTATCTTGACATCAGTGACATTGCCTTATCTTGATTCCCCTCCTGCCGCATAGGCCTTTTCCTTTTCAAACTCTTGCCTGGCTTCTCCTGTACCCAGCTTCTAAATTTTAGAATATCAAGGGCTTGCTACTCAGTTTCTTTTTTCCGTTTCTTCTCTCCCTTATTTTCTCTTCTCTCTCCCCTCCCTATCCCCATCACCTCTGTTTTCTATCTCACCTCTTTCTCTAGGTAATCCTATCTAGTTCTGTAGCTATCTTTATGTTTACTATTCCTGAATTTATATCTATAGTCCTGTCTCTCCCCAAGCCCCAGACTCCTATAACTTCCTCATGGACTTCTCTACTTGGATCTCAAACTTAAAACATCCAATAGAGATTCCTAATATCCTGCTACCCCCTCCCCCAAACAAAATCATCAGTCTCTTCCCAATCTCAATGCCAGCACCACCATTGTTCAGGTCATAAATCTAGGATAATTATTCTTAATTGTTTCCCCTCACTTTCATCCTTGAATCCATCAGTAAGGCCTGTTGGTTCTATCTTTAAAAAACACCTGTTTCTTGCCATCTCTTCCACCATCTAGTCCAAGCCTGGAATACTATAGTGGCCTCTAAACTGGTCTTTGATCTTTTCAATCTATTCTCCACACAATAGCCAAGACGATCTTTTAAAAACATAAAATCAAAGCATGTTATTCCTCATGTTAAGTTCCCTAAGTGCTTCACTTTGCACTTGGAATAATATGCAGACTCCTTCCCTAAGCTACAAGTAGGACCTTATCTGTCTTCTGCCTCTCTGACTATCCTTCTCGCATGTCATGATATGCTCTAGCCTTCGCATTATTTCTTCAACACACCAATCTCATTCTCACCTCAAAATCCCTGCATTAAGACTTTTCAAGTCCCTCTGCCTGGCATGTTTGGAATTTCTATGACTCTTCATGTGGCTGGTTTCTCATCATTCAGGTCTCACTACAAATGTTATTTCCCTCCTAGAGGCCTTTGACTACCTTGTCTAAACCATCCCATCAGCCCTCCGCCCCGCCAGGAGTTATCTATCTCATTTCCGTGTTTTATATCCTTCACTATTATTTTATTTGTTTACTACTTTATTTTCTCTCTCTCTCATGAGGGCAAGAACTTTGAAGCTCTTGATCACTGACATACTCCCAGAAGTAGAATGGTGCTTGACAAGTACTTGATAAGTATTTAAAGAATGAATGGATAGACATGGTAGGGAACTTTTAAGAAAATGCTTTCCCAGATGTTAAGTATTTTAGAGTCTTCATTTCCAACAAACATGGATATATTCAGGAGTAGAAAAAAATTCATGTGACATTTTAAAATATGAGATTTGAGTCTTTTGAAGGTTATTTAGTGATGATCTCTAAGGATCTCTTTGGGGTCCATGTTTCCATTCATGAGGACAACGTTGATTGAAAAGATGAGGGAATGCTGATCTAGGACATTCATCTCAGCTGTGGCCAAACCCTCTAGCATAGTCTGGGCTTGCTTGGGAAAGGAGTAAGTACTCTGTGTGGTAATGCTCTGAGGTGTATCATTTAGGGCTATAGGACTCCTTCCAAATTCTATTTGGCCTAGTGCAATGCTTAAAATACTTTGGAATTGATTCCTTGGGTACTGAAGTTCTTTTAATCTTCTAGAATGCTCTATTAAAATATAATGCTATGATCTATCTTTAGCTCTGAGTAGAGGTAACATCATAAAACTCTTAAGCTGCCGAAGACATTAGTTATCAGGGCTTGCTTCCCAGGTGCATCAAAATGTGCAAGTAGGCAAGACCTTATAGAAATGGGCCTGGAGAGGCAAAAGGCCCCAGGAGACCTAGAGAGAAACCTACTCCACCTCTACTTTTGCACAAAGCTGCCTTCTTTGACCCCAAGATCCCTTCTGGGCCATAACCACAGAAGGACAGAATTTCTGAGTGTTTTCAAGATTAACAAGTAGTAAGCAGGACCCCTCAAGTCTCCGAGAATGGAAGGCAGTGAACAAGCAGGTTTTTCAGAGTATTCAACTTCACCCTAATTAGGGACCTAATTGGGGTATGTGGCAATCCTGACAGGCTCTGAGAGGGTCACCTGACAGTGGTTGGGATTTCCCCTTTAATTTCACAGTCTCAGGGTGTTGACTGAGCCCTGATGGTTCAGCTCTCTGACTGAGCCACTCAGCAACCACATCTTTAATATTAAAGTCCCTTTCTTTTCTTTTCTTTTTTAAGATTTTATTGGGGAATTGGGGGAGGGGAACAGCGCTGGGGAATTGGGGGAAGGGGAACAGACAAGTTGCTGTTGTTTTGTTCTTCAGTCTAGTTGTGGAGGACGTTGCTTCACTGGCCCAAGTTGGCACCATCACTGCGCTCTTCCCGGGAGAGGCAGATCAGTCGCGGGCCTCTGGACGGCCACTCACGGCGGCTGCTGGCCGCTCACGCTGGCTGCCGGCTACACATGGTAGCTTATGGCAACCCACTTCAGCAGGGGACTGCAGCCTACGCTGTCACCGGCGACCCACAGCAGCCCAGCTCCAGGTCGAGCTGTTGTTCAGCATCTTAGCTGTAGAGGGCAGGGTCACTGGCCCTCATATGTGGGATCCGAACCAGGGCCCTCTGGCATCCCAAGCCAGTTCTTAACCAACGCGCCACTCGGCCGACCCAAGTCCCCTTATTTTCAACAGCCCTTTTCCTTGGTGGAATTTCCTCACTATTTCCTGTCTTGGAAGAAGCCTGTATTTGTTGTAGTCGAGCTAATCTGCCAGAGCTAAGAGGTTGCTGGTGTTTCCCCACTCCAGACAAGTTCTTTATTGCATTTAGAAAACAAAGACTTTTCTTTTTTAGGGAAATTTGTCACTAAAATTGCATGATGGCTTGCTGCTGTGTTACCAGTTCAGCTGGATGTGCGAAGGCACCACTGTGGCTTTTTCCCCTGACTCATATTAGCATCTGCTGAGGATCATTTTTCATTCCATTCACTTCTTATAGAAGAGGGTGATTTGGCCTTAGCATGAGATGATTTTAAGAAACTTAATTGGAGGTAAAATTGCTCTCTTACTGCAAGAGAGTTCCTCACAAATTCAAATGCCAATTGTGACAGCTTTGCAGTATCTTTCTGCTCTTAGTAATATAATTTTAGGGAAAGAATACAATGATGCAAATGCCACCTGCCAAGGCTGTCCCATTAATGCTATCTTGTGTTCCTTATCACAAATGAGATCCTTATCACATGGGAACTCCAGGCAAGGGGAGAGGATCTTGCTAGTTAACTACAGGTTTTGTATTTTTTTTCCCTGATGCTAGCATGCTAATTGTTATAATAAAGATCTGAAGTTTGTGGTAATCATCAACGTGATATTTTAAAAGAGAAACAAGTCTTAGATCCATAAGTAATTTTACCTATAAACTCATTGAGACATCGGTCACATCTCTGATAAGTTAAAAAAAATAAAATAAAACTGAGCAAATGAGTGACTGAAGCCAGACCGAGAAAATTATTTTTTTGTTTTTGTTTTTTGTTTTTTGAGTAAAGCTGTCATGTTTCAAACAGCTGTCTGGTGCTATGGAGACAGAGCCACAGAAAAATCTGTATGGTTTGCTAAAATGGGGACCCTGAGAATAACAAAGAAAAGAAGTTCCTAGAAATGACCTCTAACCAAAGACTGACCCTAATACTAGCAGTTTGAAATACCACCTACTTTATATTCTGTACCTTTCTGCCTATGTGCCCAAGAACTCAGCTGGAGCAAATCAGATGAATAATAGCAGATGGGCACCAGGTCTGTGCACATTTTTATCTAAGTTCTATACCTTGAATGGCAGCTCGATTCCATAGGAGAAGTGCCATTGGATACATCTTCTCTTTTTCAATAATTTTAGCCTTTTCTTAAAAAAAAAAAGGGGGGAGACATTCCATTAGGAAGGCTTAAAATACCCCTATAGTAAAGTCATATATGCATATGTATGATTAGGGAATTGCAGAGAATTTTAACTTATCTTACTCGATTCCAAAATGAATGCTGAATTGCTTTGAGCTATTTCATATCCCATTTCTGCAAGTAGTGCATACTGAACAAGAGAAGAATCTATATCGCCATCCTTATAGGCAAAGTATGCTGTCAGGAATTTCTCAGCCCAGTGGCCTAGTTCACAAACACCTTTATAAAGCTGTATATGGGAAGAGAAATCAAACAGACTAGTTAACCAATATACTTCATTCCAGGTAAAAGATAAATGACATCAGCCTTCAACTCCTGCTGGCTGGTCTGGCAAGGGTTTCCAGTCTAACACATGGCTTTTGCAGATTATTTAGAGTTCAGAGTTAATACCTTTCATTGACACCAAGATTACAATTGTGTATTTTTTATTGTTGTTGTTGTCTTGAGCTGAAACTTCCTGAGGCTTATTTTATGTTTGTGTAATAAACTTTCCTGACTAGAAGGCTATTTGGCAGAACAAGGATGTATTGGCTTCTATTTATAAAAAAGGGCCTTTCTGGGCACTGCTGCTCTGCGAGGGCGACTTATAAGGCCCCAGCTGATGTGGAAAGGAGAGAATGAAGGGAAGACAGTGCCTGAGGGCGTAGGTGACATAACCATGAGGGAGCAGTGCAGAGTTCTGTGGGGACAAACGTCAACCTAGCTGAATAGCCCTTATGTAACCAAAAGAGGCTAGCCATACATAATTCATTAGGAAGTTGGCAAAGGAGCAAATCTAAAGATAGATTATTAGCTGGCAGCTTTTGAAATGAGTTTCAGAAAAGCCAGATTGCAACATGGAGGTATTTATATTGGTGCAGCGGATATTTAATAAATCAATGAAGGGCATTAAGTTCCTAAAAGCATTCCTTTGTAAAGTACATCGCTGGCTCAGGCTGAAAGAATGAGCTTTCTCAGTTGTCATCCAAGTCATCAAATACCTAAGGACCCTGCTTTTGGGGGAGAAGTGGACTACATTTTCTAGGCTCAACCTAGCCTTTCGTTTCTCAAATTGCAACCCCCAACCCCACGAGAAGTGCCAAATTGCCGTGGCGATTTGATTGAACGCTGAAGCAGAGCTCCTTAACTGAATTCCAAGGGAGCTCTGAACTTGATGAAAAGTCAAACGTAAGAGAGGAGGGATCATTTCTCTTCCTTCCTTTCCCAGTCTGAGTTACATCACTGCTTTTTTCCTCCCTGACAAATGTCAGTGTTCACATTGTCAACTGGAAGAAAAGAGATAATAGCTATAAAATCCAAGGCACCAACAATTTAAGGGCACTATCACCTCCTTTGTATGATAAGTGAAAAGTACTTTAAAAACATCTCATTATTTACCTCCACAGCAGTTCTGCATGATCTTAACACTCCTGTTCCTGTGGCGTACATCTCAGCCAGATAATAAATGGCAAGGGGCTGCCCACTCTGAGATGCCAAGTAAAAATATTTGAAGGCACGTTTATAATCCTTCCATACTCCAGAGCCAGCTGAAAATTAAAATTAGTTTGAACCAGGCTTTATTTATTTTGGTACATTATAACCTATGGATATAACGGTCCCTGCTATTTTAAATAGGATGGGAAAAGCCAACTCAAAGTCAAGCTGTTCTAGTTCCACGGTTTGGGAGGGGAAGTTGAGTTCGATTTTAAGTAAGAATATAGAAATCTTTGTTCTTGACCCATTCTGAAGAAGGACTGAAGAAGGACTGGATAGCCTCAATTAAACTAATGTTAATGAGAAGGAAACCAGATGGTGGTATCTAAGGAATGGAAGCCCCACCATGATGTGTCTCTCCATTTTTGTCATCCTTTTATACCAGGAGACCAGTACAGCTCATCCCAGCCATAACTATGGAGTTTGGAGCAGGCAAATACCACCTCCAGGAAGCCCTGCTCAGACTGAATTCATGCTTGGAGTGAGGAGAGGCATTGGGAGCTAGGCCGGAGAATCCCAGCAGCTGAGATTCTTGTCCTGGCTCTCCCATTACATCTTTTGGGAGTTGGGCACCTCCCGCCACTTCATTTACAAAAGGAGGGGCTTTCACTACTTGGCCCTTCAATTCCCCTCCAGCAGGAACATTTCATAGCCTTTAGAAGCAGTGCCATGTAGCGCCTAAGAAGAAAGGCTCTAGAGACAGATTACTTGGATTTGAACCCCAGCTTCACTGTGATCTTGGCCAAGATGCTTAACATCAATATGGCTCAGTTTGCTCATCTATAAACCGTGAGCTACTCCCTAGAAGTGTTGAGAGAACTAAATGAGTTAATATGTACAAAGACTAATAAACATTAGCTATTACTACTACTCTTATTCTAAAACTTAAGAAATCTGATAGATCCTGGGCCTGTGACTTGGAATGAACTGGAAGAATAAGGCCATCTTAGGCAACTCGCCAAGGCAGTGCAGAACAGGTCCTCGCCCTGGACTACTGTGGAAAATGCCAGCTGACTTTTTAGCCAGATCTGACCTCTTTTACGATGCAGTTTGCTGCCGCACTAGCTCCACCTCTGACAGGAAGGACTTAGTGCAGAGACTCAGTATGTTCCGATCTCTTGGTACTTGTCTTGGCCATGCCCTCTCCCAATCCCCAATGTGTAACAGAGATTATTACAAACCTTCTTGTCTTTCTGTTGCCTCCTACCCCAATCACTCTACCTTTGTCCTCAGAGGACAACTTTGTACCTCCTAGCTCACTGAGGGAAACCCTCACTTTGTCTTTCCTCACTTGCCTCCTTCCCCTGCCCCCCCAGATTTACCTATGCACCATCTTTCTTTTTCTGCCTCTGTCTTTGAGGATGAGAAATCCCTTCTCTCTATCAAGGATAATGAAGCCTTTATGTCCCTGGGCCCAGTCAGATTCTAATGCTACCCAACTTTTCCCAGAACCCTTTTTCTTCAATTATCTTGTCTCTCCCATGACACATTAACCACCTCATTGATTGGCCCTCTTTTCTCTGCCAAAAATTATCCTCATGTCTCTAACCATCTTAAAGACAACTCCCTCTTGGTTCTTGGTCACCCTTATGCTACCATTACATCTCTCTCCTTCCATTTAAAGGCAAAGCCCTTCAAGAATATTTTTACTCATCTACTTCCTCAACTTTCTATTCATACCTCAACGCACTGTAACTGGCTTCTGTACCAACCAGCCCAACGACCTCACTAACATCCTCAATATTGACAAGTCCCATGGATACTTGACCCTTTCTTACTCTTTTTTTTTTTAAATTGAGAACCAGGCTTCTCACTGCATTCAGAGGGGGTACTCATTCATTTACTCTTTCTTGAAAGTTCTATCTCTGGCTTCCATAAGATCACTTTTCCCCCCTACTCCTCTGACCATGCCTTTTCAGTTTTCTTGTGACCACTGTTTCTTTGCTCATCTCTTCAATAGGACACCCAGGACCACCAGATTTCTGACTAGGCTCACTGCTCCTCCCTCTCACACTCTCCTTTCCCTTTGCAACCTCAGCTATTCTTAACAAATGCCTACATGTTGGTGTTTGTCATCTCCCAAATGTTTCTCTCCAAGTGTGACCTTTCTTGTGAGTTTCATACTTGTTTCTGGGTATGTGCATTGGATATCACAGGTCACCTCAAACTTAACCTTTTGAAAGGTGAGCATCCTGACACTGCACCTCTTGCCTCCTTTCCCAACTGGTATCTTTTTCTTCAATCTTCTTCAAATTCCTCCCCAAATTGTTGCCTATATGTTCTCTCTAAACCACATATATCCCTCCTTTGATTTTTGTTTTAAAAGGAGCAGACTAAAAAATCATTTGTCATTCTGAGTAAAGCAGCCATATTTGTAGTACTTACAGTAGTACATGAGGCCTAACTGAAACTGTGCATTGGGCCATCCTTTCTCTGCAGCTTTCTGAAAGTATTTAAGTGCTTCAGCATAATTCTGCAAGATAATTGTACTCTTATTACTCAGAAATGTATGTACAACTCCATGGGACCATTTGCTTTCTCCTTTTTTTATTTTTTAAAGAGCATAGATAGTGCCATGTGATTTAGACTACTTAAAATAGTGTTATAAGTATTTTACATTTTATTTTATTATTAGATTATCTTAGGAAATAATTATCTCATTTTCACTGCAAATTATGTCTTTCCCTACACTGAAAGTAAGTTTTATTAGCTATTAGGGGAAGGTCCTCAAAGACAAAGGTTACACTAACAGGATAAATTTCTCTATCAAAGAAACGTCTTCAGGGGTTAGATAATTTCTAAGGTTACTATTACATTAGGTTATTATTCATTAAATAACAATTAACATTGTTATTCTTGTCACAAGCTTGTTCTATGTCTCTTTGACAAACATTCCAGTGGTTTATTTTATTCTCTATTATCAGATATGATAGGTTGGCAAACCAGGTAATGAAGACTAATTTCTTTAAATTAATCAGTGACCATGAATTTTACCCTATAAATTCCTAGAAAAGATAATGAAATTCTTCAACTTACCACAGGAACTCCTTTCCCATAAAAGTAAAGAAGACCGAGCCCATGAAGACCAATTGCATTGTCCTAGAACAGTTTTAAAAATTCATGTAAAGTCCCAGAAGAATTAATAATAAGGAAAATTACTGAAAAATAATTAAAAATACTTGAAATGCACCCAGTAGGCAGTTAATCAAGGCAGGTTAGTCAGGTAGTTGGCAAATTATTCTGACCCTCTCTAGTTTTTCCTTTCACACCTTCATAACTCCCTCTGACTAGAAAAAAGAACAAGGAAATTAAAGTCAAATCTTTCCTCTGTTTTTCCATTCAGCTTTTATTTAGTGCTCACGTTGTGTGTGACTCCATAAGAGACAGGGGGCAGATGAAGGAGGTAAATGTAAAAAGATGAATAAACCATGATCCCTACCTTAGAGAATTCACAGGTTAGTGGGCTCTGACTCACTAGGTAGGACCTCTTAAAGTAATGGTGTCAAATGTGGTAATTCCTATAGTAGAAACAGATCAAGAGTGCTGTGGGCACCTAGAAGGGGGACACTCAACTGCCTGGACGAGGCTAGGGACTGATGGGATTGAGTTGTGAGGAGTGGTGACATTTGAGCTGGGTCTTGAAGGATGTGCAGGAGTTTTCCAGAAGGGAGAAATCTATCTAGACACATGTTATATGTGCTTTGGTCAAAGGAGGTTGCCATAAATGGCCGAATAACATTTTGGAGACTCTGTGAATTTCAATCTAGCCATTATGGATGGTATTGTTGGGATCTGTTTCTTTATTCAAAGTTGACTGTTTATACTACCACCAATGCTTTCTTTTCCATTTAATGCTAAATTAATTACCATTTATTTTTCTGATTTGTATTCTGACTAGTCTAGGGAAGGGAGTATTTAGCACATTTAGCATTTAGCACATGTTCAAGCCTATTTGATGAGACAAGTAAACAGTTAACAGGAGTGGGCTTGTGAGCTTGTAGGATGGAATAGGCAAAGAGTTAACAAGAGAGAGCTTGTGGGCTAACAGGAATGAGCTAAACATTAATTGCTTGGCTCTGAGTTCCCTGGCCAACACTGCACCTACAAGCTGACAAGCTTTATGGATAGGAACAGAACAGTTCCCAATCACAACAGCAACCCCCTGCAAGCTGACATCAATCATAGTTGGGAACAGGATGGTTCCCAGGAGAAGACAATTGTAACAGCAGCCCCCATGCAAGCTGACAAGCACCCTACATCCTGCATGGAAAACTATAAAACCCCAGCACTCATTCTCATCAGTGCAGCTGTCCCCCATCGGACTCTGCCCTGGCTAAACTCCATTTGCCAGTATATTTCTTACCCCTCTGTTTCTGCAACTGTCTCCATCAGACTTCCCTGGCAAAACTTTTGTCAGTTCCAAACAGAATTCTCTCTCCCTTTTTGACCTTCAATAAACCTTTTCTTACTCTTGTAGAGTCTCGTAAATTCTTCTACATTCTGCGAGTGACCAGGGGTTAATTCTACGCCAAGACATATTAATCCCTGATGAAAACTGAACCTTGAAAGTAACCTCCCCACCAGAAAACTCACTTTTTCATCTCCCATCATGCATTTCACCCTCTAGTGACTGAGTAAGGAGCAATGTTTGGTTGCTTGGGTTTCATTAAGCAAATCTGTAGGTTTGTTTGATAGGTTTATAGTATTTCCTCAGGGGCTTAAGTTCTGATAGAAAACTCTGGATTTCTTTTTACTATCTAAATGTAGTTGTTGTGTATGGAGCCAGAGAACCCCTTAGTGATACAGCAAAAGCACATAGAGAAGGCATTGCTCAAAAATTTCTTTAAGACTCCAAAGTTTGGGCCTATGAATATCAAAGGGCCAGCTACTGTAAGAATTCTTATGGATGGTCAACCTGTATTTAAAGCAGTGGGTATATATATATGCTGCTTTCTTCCTTCTTGTCAGCTACATCTACCTGAGGTCCTAGAAGTATTGGGATAGTCTGGTCTAGGGGGTAGTAAGGCCTGGTGTGATGGATGTGATAAAGTCTGGTGAGTCTGTCTTCTAATTATCCTCATTTAGGTAATTGAGAAAAATGAACGGTAAGGGAAAAGAGAGGAGGGAAGAGTAAGAGAGAGAAGGAGAACATCAAAAGAGTGGGGACAAATTACTTTCCTTCTCTAAGAGAGTTCTAAGGTGACCAGGGGCCTTACAAATTGACAAAGCAATGGTTGTTCGTTTGTTTTTTTTAAAGATTTTATTGGGGAATTGGGGGGAAGAGAACAGTGTTGGGGAATTGGGGAAAGGGAACAGACAGGTACACAAATTGCTGTTTTGTTCTCCAGTCTAGTTGTGGAGGAGGTCGCTTCACTGGCCCATGTTGGTATGATCATTGTGCTCTTCCGGGGTGAGACAATTGGTTGCCGGTCATTGGTCGGCTGCTAACCGTGGCTCACAGCAGCTCTCTCTGGCAGCCAGCCACTCATGTAGCTCATGGCAGCCCACTGCAGCCTACGCCGTTGCCGGCGACTCACAGCAGCCTAGCTCCAGGTCGAGCTGTTGTTCATCATCTTAGCTGTAGAGGGCGCAGCGTCACTGGCCCTCATGTGGGATCCGAACTGCGGCCCTGCTGCTCAGAGCTGGTGCTCCCAAGCGAGCTCTTAACCAGCTGAGCCACTCGGCCGGCCCAGCAAGGGTTGTTTTTATTTGTTTGTTTTTTTTAAGTAGTAAAAGAAGAGTATGGGTGTGCAAAGAGTGGGAGATAGAAACCTTTTGATTTAGTAGTGGCCATAAGTGAGAAATCTAGTAAATTGTCCGTGTGATGATAAAAGAATGTATGGCTATATCCACCTGGTGCCACTCAGAGCAATTACCTTAAATACAGTGTCAGATTTCCTCTGTAAAGGAAGGTAGCTCAGGTTTAGAGCATGAGTAGCTCAGATCACTGCTGGTTCCACAGCCCTGAATTGCTTGGGATCTGAGGTAATTAACATACAAAATTCCTGGCATTATTCCTTTAGGCTGACAAATCAGCGTTATTTGCCAGATTATAAGAGATCTTCCTGTTGTATTACCCCACCTCTTCTTCAGTTGGCTCTCCTTTGTCATCCTAATCCAGTGGTACTCAGACAACTGTCTTGCTGAGCAACAATGTCATATAAATTACAACAGAGAGGAGCCCAGCACAGGCCTTCTCGGTAATTTACATCACAATAGCAACAGCATTGAAGTGCTAGTCATTTATAAAGAAGCTCATAAAGCAGTGTGTGGGTTTTTAAAAACAACAGTTGAAAATGTTCCTGACCTGAGCACTTCTTTACTGCTAGTGTTGCAGTATGACATGGTGACAATACAATGTTTCCTGTTGTGCAGGGATAGAAAGCTGATGAAGGCCATTCACCAGCACCAGGTTGATGAGTGCTGCTATTAGGATGCTCTTTATGTACTAAAGGGATTCAGAGAAGTCCACTAAGTTTGATCTGACAGATACCAACCAGCCTCACGGAACTGAGAAAACAAGGCAAACACTTCAATGGCAGGAGCCATGTTACACCGTTTCCTCACAGATACCATCCATTCTGCCTTTGATATGCTTTGAAGTTCCTTCTACCTAACTGTCCCCAGGATAATAGCAAAAGATAATAGCTGACACATAGCACTTACTATGCGCTGGGCAGTGTTTTAAGTATTTTACAAAAGGAGACACAGAAATGTTAACTCAATAAGTCCTGACAACAACAATATGAGGCAAATCTTCTTGTATTCCTATTTTATAGATGAGGAAATTGAGGCACAGAAAGGTTAACTAACTTGCCCGTAGCTACACAGCTAGTAGCAGGGCTGCCATGCAAACCAAATGTCTCCAGAGCCACTCTCTCCATCGTCTTGTCCTGACTGCCCCTCCGACAACTTTCTTCTTGGGCCATTGGGATTTCGGGCTTCGGGGTAAGATCAAATGGGACAAAGCTGGGCGCTTCTTGGTTGGTTTTGTCCCGAACTTACTGCATTGTTGATTGAGTTTTCCCTTCCTCTGTCTTCATCTCTTTTATTTCTTGTTTCCTGAGCTGGATGGCCTCATCTACTGTATGGGAGAGGACAAAGCTGAGCTTCTGTCTGACCTCTTGCTAGGACAGCACAAGTCACTGCATTTTCCACTGACCAAGGAGACCAGACATGTCTCCCCCTTTCTCAACCTTATATGTCATTGTTAGCAGTATTTTTCTCCAGGACAGAAAACTCCTCCCAGGCCTATTAGCCAGGCGTGGGGCTTTGGAGTCAACTCTTCAGCACCAGTCTACATGTAATAAAAGCCAAGTGTTTTTACATGTTTGCAGAAATGGCCTGAGTACATACCTTATTGGCTGCCATGGAAAAGTATTTGAAAGCGGTAGCATTATTTTGTGGTGCTGCATCATTACCCTCTAAATACATCTAGAAAAAACAAATGAACAGAGGATGTAAAAAAACTAAGGAATCTGAGGGTGATAAAAATGTTTTAGAACTACATAGAGGTGATGGTTGGACAACACTGTGAATGTAGTAAATGCCACTGAAATGAACACTTTTAAATGATTAATTTTATGTTGTGTGAATTTCACTTCAATGTTTTATAAAAGAGAAACTAAAGAAACAATCTACTACATATATTCTGGAATGACCTTGCCCAAGGACAAAAAAAGAGTCCTATTGGTGTTTTCTCGTGTTTCCTTACGTCTGAATTTGCTGTTTGTAGCACCTCTGGAAACAGATCGCTTGGCCCCATGGTTTTTATGAATGCAAACTGGCCACAGGGAGCCCAGGGCAGCACTTGGGGGAATGAGTGGTCTTTGAAGAAGAAAAAAAACATGCCTCTTTAGAGGAACCCTCCACAAAGCTGCTCAGCAGCCAGAGGGGCCTCCCATCAGAGGGAGCCCAAGGATGGACGTTGGTCAGCCTGGAGCTGGGTCTCATTCCTGGAGTGGAGGAAGGAGGCAATTCATTAGATTGAGGCCTGCACCAGTCTTCGATGCACAGCTGGCTCAGATCTGTTACATGCTAGGAGTAGGGGTCATGGGAGGGATTCTGAGCTATATCTAGTCAAGGAGCCCCAGGCCAGAAGCACTTTCAAGGCTGTTTTTGGTGTCCCAAATAAAGGATTCTGTTTTACGGGGCTTCTTCCTAAACTATCACCTCAGGAATACTACCCTTGGTGTGTAGCCAAAGGCCCCACTCAGCTGCTGCCATGAAAGAGGGCTGCAGCCCAGTTCTCCGCACTGGGTTCAATCAGCTGATGCCATTAATTTCTTAGGTCTTTAAGAAATGAAAATATCAATGAAGATGAAGAGCATGTACCTTTCCTATAAATGCCATGGCATTTGCACTCCCGGCCTTTGCTGCCTTTAAGAAGTAGTATAACGCTTTCTGGAGAGAAAAGGAACAGTGTTATTGACAGTCATGAACATATCCTGCTTTAAAATGGCTTTTTGAAGCAAACTGTGTTTCATTCAACATGCATTGAAAAAATATCTATGAAATGCCCTCATTTTTCAAGACACTATTCCAAGTGCTGTTTAAACTCTCAACCAAAGAGTAGGACATATATAGAGGGTGCCAAAAAAATGTATGCACATTTTAAGAAAGGAAAAAATTGTATTCAAATTGTAGTACAATGAATGACACTAGCATTCATTTGATTAATGCCATCTTTTGAGCAAACGTCATACTACACATTGCTACCATAATTCAATTCAGCTTCGAAAAGTAATACATAGATAACATCTCTTAAAATATGTACATTGCTAAAATTGAAAGACAACAACTTGTCTGTCCCCCTTCCCCAATTTCCCAATAAAATATTTTTTTTTAAAAATGTGTACATTGTTTTGGCACCCCCGGTATATATCTTACATAAATAATTTTAGAATGTGAGGACGTCTCACATTTGGAAAGACTTGATGGGCATATAGCTTTGTTGAGGAAAGATGAATCCCAGCTATTGACCTAAACAGTCCATTATTTTGAAAAAGTATGCCTCTATGTTGATACTATGCACTTATTTTATAAGACAGTTTGTACAATTGGCAGAATTGGATATGCAGCATCCTAGCGTTTATAAGGTAGCGTGAATAAGACGGGACACACCTGGCTGCCTGCTGAGACCAGGTCTTTCTGCAGAGCTGAACATCAGGCCAATTCTTTCTAAATCATATTGAAGGGGGTTGGCAAAGCCTCTGATTCTAGGTCATAACATTAAATGAAATGCTCAGTCTAGAACGCATAAGGGATGACCTGTCCCTTGCTGCCTCATTCCCTAAGCCTCATCCTGATCTTCCAGAAGTCCTCCTCAGAGACCACATGGAGTAATAAAAGAAATCGACCCCAGGAATGAGAAATGAAGACACTCTCCAAAGTGTCTTATTAGGACGCAACTCTTCTGCTCTTGAAAAACCCTTGACTCGGTTGATATGCAAGGGCCTGCTCCTTCCCAAAGACGAGAGAATGTTTAAGGAAGAAATGTGGGTAGTTCTTTTATATGTAAATTTGCTCTAGAAATATTGCCAACTTATTTGACAACTACAAGTTTGTTAGTAAAGTCGGTCTGCCTTATGGACATAAAGTAAATACAAATGCCATCAGGGCAGGACATCATCACATCATGCATCCATTCATCCATCCATCTCCTCTGTTCTTCATTTATCCTTTCAAAAATTTTATTGAAACTTGCTGTATAATGGTATTATAGTATGCTAGGCAATATAGATGATTCAGAGATGAACAAAAAACACTATTCCCACATTTGCTCCCTAACAATACTGCTGAGAAGAAAGAAATACATGTAAATAGCAATAAGACAATAGGTGATAGGTGGGAGAAAAGGAACCCAAAAAGAATTAGAGGAGTGTAGAATAACAGAAGTTGTAACCAGTTTTGTGATAAGTATTTTACAAGATTTTTCATACCTATTCTACACAACGACACTGTAAAAGGTATTATTAATACCTGAGCCTGTTTAGTGACTCTCAAGAGTCATGTAGCTCGTACTGGAGTCCCACAGCAGCCTGAATCCAATTCCCATGTACTTGGCATTCTGCTTTCTCCATTAAAGAAGGAGGGCTTAAATAATAAAGGCCTCACAAAAGATGGAAAGGATTCACCAGTGCAGAAGCCATCATAGGCTGGGGGCATAACGTGAGCAAAGAATGGAGATGGGAATGTCCAAGGTGAGTCCAGGAAATACTAATCATGTCAGCATGGCTACAATAGAATATCCAAAAACTAAGACTTGCAAAAATATGATGGGGCCATATTATAAACAGTCTTGAATACCAGGCTAAGGACTTTTATTTTATTTGGTAGAAAATAGAAGCTACTGGAGATTTATGGGCATGAAGGAATCTTGAAATAAGTGCTGTCTAAAATGTCTGGAATAATGTGTCAACTGGATAGGAGAAAGTTGTAGTAATGTATGATTTATCAATCATTGATCGGTAAATGAATCAAATGTATGATTTACCAATTATATTAATCAGAGTACATTAATATAAAAAAAGTATTTCTTATGAATGTCTCTATTGAGCCAAGACCCAAATATACCCCTAGGTTACTATAATTTATGCAAGTCACAGTATCGCCAGGCCTTGGTTTCCTCATTCATGTCCTGTGTGTGCTCTCAGGACACCTGTCCTTCCCTATTATAGTATGCATCCATTGATTTAATTGTCTGCTTAATTGTTTGTCTCCCCCAATGTTGAATCATTTGTATTCAGCACAGTGTATATTGTATGTTAGGTACTCAGGAAATATTTCTGGAATGAATGAATAAGTGAGTGAATGAAAGGATAAATTTATAAATCTCTAAAACAATGGGACTGAATTTTAATGTTTATGGTCTCTTCCAGCTCTAGTATTATAATTTAATGAAACCATTTTCAAAGTCTAATTTCAGAATTTGGCTCTCAAATACGACAGGAGTTCTAGAAAAAAAGTTTCACTCTTGGAAACTAGATTTGAACTGTTAAAAGAGAATAATCTATTCCCCAGAAGCGAATAAGAATCCTGGAGTCCCCATCCTTCAATGTAATGATCCTATAATGACTAAAGGAATTGAGACTATCTGTAATTCCCTCTTCCATACCCCTCCACTCTCATGGCTTACTTGGCATTTCTGTTCTCTTTCTTTCTACTTAAATTAACCTGCCCTTAATGCTATTGCTTCAATACTTTATTAAACACTATGTGAAAGTACCATGCAAGTTTTTTTTTTGATGGATATGCATGAGTCAACCTGAGTTCTTGCTCAAAGAGTTAAGATGGCGTATCCATCCATTCATCCATGCATCTATTCATCTGCTATGGTCTGCATATTTGTGACCCCCCCCCTCAAATTCATATATTGAAAACCTAATGCCCAAGACTATGGCATTAGGAGGTAGGGCCTTTAAAGGTGATTGGCAGAGCCCTCATGAATGGAATTAATGCCTATATAAACGAGGCCCCAGAGAGCCAGCTCACCTCTTCTGCTAGTAAGGATACAATGAGAAGTCTGCAAACTGGAAGAGGGTCCTCACCCAACCACGCTGGCACCCTAATCTCAGACTTCCAGCCACCAGAACTGTGAGAAATGCTATTGTTTATAACCCACCCAGTCTATGGTATTTCTGATATAGCACCTCAAACAGACTAAGACACCATCCATCCACCTAGCCATCTATACTTCAAATATTTACTGAGCACCTACCATCATATTTTACTGATTCTAAGATATACATTTCTCCCTTTTAATCAAGACATTTCTTACCATTGATGGCACTGAATAATTTATATTGACAGTGTTCTTTCTTTCTCAGTTGAACATAAAATAATGTATCTTATAATTGATGGTATCTTTGATAAGATGAAATATACAGTATGTCTCAGGTATTATGCTAAATGAAGTTTTATTATTTGAATGCATATCTCTTTTAAAAAAAATGAGCATGATTTTTTTGTTGGTTCTAAGAAAATCCCCGTTTTAATCAGTTTGTAACATTTCCTCTAGAATGAAATGCCAAGAAAATGTATTATTCTAAAAACATTTATGAACACTTCTTTTATCCTAGGCTGTATAAGTCACAATGAAAAGGGATGATATTCTTTTTAACGGTGGCAGGGTAGATAAAGCAGTCACCCTTATATATTTTATAGTATTATCCCTCTGCTAGGTTTAATTATGCTTCATCAACTTTAATAATATGCACCAAAACACCCAGCTTTTCTAATCCAATTCATTCTGACCCTGTATATATTTAGAAATGCAAATGCATTAGAATATATGTGTAGAAATTAAAGATAATGTAGTCAAGAATTGCATAGACAATACTTTTCAATAATTAAGAATTCTGTGGGAGGAAAAGGAGGTGAAAACATGCCTGAGGTGACAACTCAAGAAAGATTAATTCAATCAGTAGTGAGAAGAAAACAAATGCAAGCTAGTTGTTTTCCAGGTATTTCGATATTTAATTTGCTGGGCAGTAAACTGGGTATCACTTACATTTATAAAAAGTCTTACATTAATAATCTTCTTTGTTGAACTGAAGTATTAGCAAACGGGCTCAAGTGGTGGTTCCCAGGCTTAGGAGCAACATATAATGCTTAGGATGCTATTCATTCATTCATTCATTCAATAAGTACTTACTAATAATCTAATATGCAACAGGTACTAATCTGAGTATAAGATACATAGTAGTGAGCAAAACAGACAAGACCTTACATTCCATGTGGGGAGACAGGCAGTAAACAAATCAAGATCAATATAGTTTACAGAGTGATATGTGCTAGAGCAGGGGTCAGCAAACTGCGGCTCGCAAGCCACATGAGGCTCTTTGGGTACATACATGTGGCTCTGAAGTAAAATTGAAAATGAAAATAAAGCTATCATAGTTTCATTTATAAAATATTTAAAGGATGCTATTCATATAATGGTGATTTCATTTGTTTTATGGCTCTTAAATAATTTTTAAATTGTTGTGACGGACAGGATTGGCTCTTTTGTCTCAAAAGCTTGCTGACCAGTGGGCTAGAGGAAAATAAACACAACGTGATAGGATAAGTGATGGAAGGTAGAGTTGATCAACAAAATCTTCTCTGAGGAGGTAAGACTTGAAAGATGAAAAGTTAGCCATGGGAAGCACTGCAGTAACAGCCTTTCAGAAATTGGATTTATTCTTTTATCTTCTCTCTCCCTTTGCATTTCCCATGTCATTCCAGGTTGATTCTGTTGCAACTAAGTTTGTTGCAAAAATGACTACAATACTTTACAGTACTTCCTATTAAAAAAAGAAGTCCTTTCTCCTGCCCCTTCAATGCTGGCTGGCCTTGTGACTTTCTTTGGCCAAAAAAAAGTAGCAGAAGTGATTTGTGAGTTCTGATCATAGGCTTTGATGGACTTCTGCTCTTGTTTCTGAGAACCTTAGAACAAAAGCAGTTTGACCGTCTTGTGAAAGCTTGGGCCAATTGGCTGAAGGATGAGAGCATATGGGGAGACCCAGTTATTCTAGCTATCACAGATGAGGTCATCATAAACAAGCAAGCCCTAGCCAATTCTCTAGCTACCTATAGATGCATGAGCAAGCCCAGCCAACATGAGTTGAGCCTGGCCCAGACCAGAATTACTCTGCTGAGTCCAACCAAAACTGCTGACCTGCCAAAATCATGAATTAAATCAATGGTGTTGTTTTAAGCCACCTAAGTTTGGGAGGGGTTTGTGATGCAGCCTAAGCTAACTGATACATAAGTCCATCATTCTTGAGCTCTGAGGCCTTGATTGGAGCTGCCCCATTCAAGTTCCATTTTATTAGGCTAAGGAAAGCAGCAAGGACTGGCCTGTGCTTGCCCCAGAATGTGCCTAAACCATGGTGATGGTTCTGGAATTAAACCAGCCTTTTTTGAGATGTCTGGATGGGAAGCATGTGGCCCAACCCACTATCAAAAAGTTAGAGCTGAAGCAACCCGAGAGATTGTGATATTCCTTCTTATTGTTTTATAAATAAGGAAACTAGATTTTCAAGGGCATATTATTTTGCCCAGGTTAAAAGGAAGTAAGGTTTAATAGAAAGAGCACAGGCTTTGAATGCTCAAACCCTGAGTTCAAATTCTACTTCCTAACAAGCTGTGAGACTTGAAGTAATTTACTTCATCTCTCCAGCCTCAGCTTTCATCTCTAAAATAGAGGTGATAAACCCCTGTGAATGAGCTCACAGGAGGGGCCTGATTGGTCCCAACTGCCTGCTCTTGCCATTCCAGCACCAGAATCTCTCATTGACAGCCTTGGGACATTTCATCGTCACCTAGAGGCAGCTCCAGCTCCGATCTGGTGTTCGTGATGGCTGGAGCTGACCAGAAGTGCCTAGCTTTGTGGGGTTTTATGTACTCTACAAAGATTGGTGGGTAACCCCTGTAGCTGAGGTTTGAGTACCTTCACAGTCAAATTTCATGTTTATGGAAAATGGAGAAATCTTCCCAGTTATGCATCCTATGGTTAACATAAGAAACACATTGCAGGCTGAAATCTGACATTGGAATAGTATTGTGAATCCAGAACTGTCCATCTAAGGATCTAAAACCTTGGCTAATGATGAGGATAATAAAATCTGGAAAGCTTCAATTGAGCTATCTTGGGATGCATATACTTATTATTATTATTTTAAAAAAGATTTTATTGGGGAATTGGGGGAAGGGAACAGCGCTGGGGAATCAGGGGAAGGGAACAGCGCTGGGGAATCAGGGGAAGGGGAACAGACAATTTGCTGTCCTTTTGTTCTTCAGTCTAGCTGTGGACGACGTCGCTTCACTGGCCCATGTTGGTATTATCATTGCGCTCTTCCTGGGAGAGGCAGATCAGTCGCCAGCCTCTGGACGGCCGCTCATGGCGGCTGCTGGCCACTCACACTAGCTGCCGACTACACATGGTAGCTTATGGCAGCCCACTGCAACAGGGGACTGCAGCCTATGCTGTCACCGGCGACCCATAGCAGCCCAGCTGCAGGTCAAGTTGTTGTTCAGCATCTGAGCCGCAGAGGGCAGTGTCACTGGCCCTCATATGTGGGATCCAAACTGGGACCCTCTGGCATCCCAAGCCAGCTCTTAACCAACACGCCACTCGACCGGCCCCTGCATATACTTATTTTTATTGCTTCTTACTTTTGCCACATTTTATGAAATTAACTTTGACATTTACCTAATATATACTGTATCTCATATAAAACAAGCTATAGTACTAAAGACACAGTCATAAATTAACAATGTAAGTGAAATGGAAAGTAATAACAAATCACTCTGTTATGTAACCACCTTATAAAATAATTATTCCTATTGCTTAGCCTTTGGGACCATGTTAAAATAGAGTATGCGTCCCTTTCAGACAATGAGCACACAGCTCCTATAAAATGACACGGTCTAGAAAATCATCTTTAAAAAAGAATTCTACCTACTTTCCCAGATCTGTGGGGATCTAGGGCCTTGAAACCATAGTCAGGATCTAGACAAGACCTTATCCTGGGACTCTATTATCTTACTAAGGAGTATCCTGTGTAGTTCAAGTTTTTTTGTTCTTTCTCCACTAAATTTGAATTGTTAATTAATCTTCTAACCTCAACCGCATAAGGTAAGGTTAGGCAAAATGATTGAAAGGAGCTTTGTAAATTTATCAAGATGATTAATAATACTTCTAATTATATTGAAAATAGTATGTCCCCTGATTTAGCCAAATGGGCTGAGGCTGGTCCTCAGGTTCTTTTTTTTTTTTTTTTAAGCTGAGCCATCCTGCCACCGGTTTGCAGCTCAGCGGCTACTCAGCTCGGGCCGGCAATCGAACTGCTGTTGCTCAGAGCTCAAACTCTTGAGTGAGCTCTTAACCAACTGAGCCACTTGGCTGGCCCTATTTTTTTTAATTTTTAATTTTTTTTTAATTGGAGGAGGGAAACAGTGTTGGGGAATTGGGGAAGGGGACCAGCCAAATTGTTGTTCTTCAATCTTAGTTGTGCAGGGCGCCAGTTGCCATCTGGCTGCCTGTTGGCAGCTTGTGGCCTCTAAGCTCAAGGTGTTGTGTTCAATCTTAGTTGTGAGTGAGCATAGCCATGTGGGAGTCAAACCAGCACCCTTGTTGTTAAGAGCGCATGGTCTATCCACTGAGTCATCTGGGCGGCAGCTCAGTGCAAGGTGCCGAGTTCAGTCTTTGTTGCTTGTGGGTGGGCATAGCCATCATCTCGAACAGGCAGTCTTGTTGTTAGGAGCATGTGCTCTCACCAGCTGAGCCATCCTGCCACTGTTGGCAGCTCAGCGGTAGCTCACTCAGCTCAGGCGCAGCATCACTGGCCCATGTGGGAATCAAACCGGTGACCCTGTTGATCAGAGCTTGCACTCTTATGCTAACTCTTAACCAACTAAGCCATTCAGCCAGCCTAGTCCTCAGGTTCCTAAGCAGGAAACTCTCAGGTGGACTTTTTTTGGGGAATGGGCAAGTCCAAGGCTGGCAGGCGGGCATATCTTCCTCACCTTATCCCATTCCAAAAGTGTGTTTGGGTGGGACGAGGCTGGGTTCAGGGGGAGCATGGAAACACACTTGCCCCAACTGTTCCTTCAGAAGCCTCTACCCCTTTGTACCTGGAGGCAGGTAGGAAAAGTGCTCCCTCTAGTGAACTTTGTTTTTCCTCAAAAGGTGGGAAACGGATCTGACTAAGGAAGCAGCGGTGGGCTTTCCCAAGCAACTCTTCCACACCCTGTTCCCTTTTTACCAGTCCACCACCCTTCCTCACCACTATCCTCTCCACCCCACATGGCAGAATCTCAAGATTGACTTACGGAGTAATCCTGATCCAGACCTTTCCTCCCAATTAGATGTAATTGTCCAAGAGATACCTAGGAACAATGATTGAGAATTATTTTAACAGTAGTATTAATTTAAATAAAGAAAAGAAAATATTTTACCTGGTGATTTTACTATAGTATGTTGATCCAGTTTGATGTAGTTGGCATGTCTTAAAAAAGAAGCAGGGAAACATTGCAGACTTTATCTTTTATTGGCTAATCAGTTGATGCTGAGCATAAGGCTTCTTCAGTGAGTGGCCTGCTGGTGCACAGCAGGCACATAAACCTAGTGGCCTTAACTCTTGGCTCTGAAAGGTCACATAAATGCAATCCCATTTCCATTCCCAAAGACAGAACACTTCTGGACCCTGGTAAGACTTCATTCATATTAAGACCAACTTTGGATGGTGCTTTTTTGCTATAATTCAAATCTAGGTTTGTAAAAAATGAATTTTTTAGGAGTAAGTGTTTAAAAAAATGGCCATTACTATGGCAACTGGCTGTTTCATAGGCCACAGGAACTGTAAGCAACAGGGGATGGTAAAAGGAGTAGAACAAAGAGGAGAGGGTGTCTCTTCCTTTTCCCATTTAGGATGGGGCATTGTTAACCCCTTAAGGTCTCAGAGAGGACCAAGCCCCTTGTAATTTGTATGTTCTTAAAAGTCAAGCTTGTCTTTATACATTACTTGTATTTGAACATCTCCTCTTTCTGCCAAAAATTTATAGTATTGGTATATGTCCCAATCCAGGATCTCACTGTTAGAACTTAGGTTTTCAGGTCTCTCAGTTAGTCTCACTTTTTCCACTGGAATACCTTCACTTTTTTCCAATTTGTCAGCAACTGTGAATAGAAACAAGCCAGAGAATAGCCAGAGTACACAAAGGTTGCAACAAATAAAAGTCAACTTAGAGAAAGGACTGTTAAGCCTATTCTCCTTAAATTATGCAGAGATCTGGTCTATTAACAGAAAGGAAATATCCTGAGGTGATAGAAATGTGCTGATTTTTGTTTACTTAGTTTTGAGAAAAGTGCAAGAAACCTTTGCCACCCATTAAAGTATTGTAGTAACATAGATCAGTCAGACCCTACTGAAGATCTTGGCTAAGCAGGTTCAAGAAGAGAAGACAGATTTTACAAATTTTAGGAGTAGATGGCTGACCCCTTCTGCCACTGACTTTTTCTGATACTGAAACTACAATATAAGAGCAATAAATGCTTCTTTTTTTT